TTGGCTCTGAATATATTTAAAAATCATTTACTTGTGTGTTGATGAATTTATATACTAGTACATGAAGTACCTAATACTTGTTTTGATTTGGATAGGTAGCGATATTATGAATTTATTATACGTAATCTAAAGATTTTGACGAAATAAAAGTAATTAGTTATCTGTTAACCTTGACTTCATGCTGGCACCAGTATTATCAGATGATGAACATACTCTTCGAAAACTTACAGCAGAAATATCGTGTTTGGACTCATTAGATAGGTCTCGATGAATAGAGTTTAAAAAACTTAAAATAAATGGTACATTAGAAATAATGTATAAAAACCCCTTACGTAAAATTCAACCACTTTAAACTTAATAATAATAATAATTAGGAAAAGAGAAAAGCTATACATGCACTGAAAGTAATTGATGCCTTCCACACAATATTTTCAGTATTAAACAACTCTGTTTGTTCAGTAAAAGTGTAAATACACTGGTAACCTTTAATCATATTTTATATGCAAACATTACATATACAAACACTAAAGTTTTATTTCAGAATAGCCAGTAGTTTTCAAGAAATAAGTCTTTGAAATTGTACGTGTAACTTATATATATAGCTACTAGTTTTTTCACCATAACAAACAACACCAATATGGCCTAGTTAGTAGTTTACCTGTGTACCAATTAATAATAATAGTAATCTCAGGACAATTCATACAGCTTCATCTAGACCCAAGTTAAGCTAGCTGAAGATTATGTTATGGGTACTGATATAAATACAAAGATTTTTTTCGTAAATACATATATATTATCTATACATAGAAAACACCCAGACCGTTACAAACAATTTAATAATAAGTTAATAGTTTAATAAGTACGTACGTAATATTATCACATGGTAACAGCACGTATTATGGCAAAAATAAACATCGGCTGATTTGAAAAGATTTATTATAGTAATAATAGTAATCTCAGGACAATTCACACAGCTTCATCTAGACCAAAGTTAAGCTAGCTGAAGATTATGTTATGGGTACTGATATAAATACAAAGATTTTTTTTTTCGTAAATACATATATATTATCTATACATAGAAAACACCCAGACCGTTACAAACAATCATACTCATGAATACAAATGTTTGCAGCGTGCGAGGAATCGAACCCTCGACCACCAAGCAGGAATCAAAGCAGTGTGCTAGCTAAATCGCTAGACTACCGACAACTAGCTGTACACGCGACTTCGTCCGCATGGAATTTAACTTCTTATATTTTAGAAAAATAAAGTTAAATTCAACACGGACGAAATCCCGTGTACAGCTAGTCATCAATAAAAAAACACGTAGGTATCTCTAATATATTATACACTAGCTGTTCCCGCGACTTCGTCCACGTGGTTTTTAACTTTATTTTTCTAAAATAAAAGTAGCCTAAGTTACTCCTTATTACATCAGCTACCTGCCAAAAAAAGTCCCGTCAAAATCGGTCCAGCCATTTCAGAGATTAGCCGGAACAAACAGACAGACAGACAAAAATTGTAAAATATGTTATTTTGGTGTATGTACCGTATTTATATTTATATGCAAGTAGTAAAAAACGGTTATTTCAATATTACAAACAACAGGCTTCAACATTCTCAAGTACCACAAAAAAGATGTTTTTATTAAAAACAAGGTGTTCCCGCGACTTCGTCCGCGTGGAATTTAACTTTATTTTTCTAAAATAAAAGTAACCTAAGTTACTCCTTATAAATCAGCTACCTGCCAAAAAAAGTACCGTCAAAATCGGTCCAGCCATTTCAGAGATTAGCCGGAACAAACAGACCGACAGACAGACAGACAAAAATTATAAAAATTGTTATTTTGGTATATGTACCTTATATATATTCATATGCATGTAGTAAAAAACGGTTTTTTCTATATTACAAACAGACACTCCAATTTTTATTAAATGTATAGATGTATAGATTATTATTTATTTATTTATTTATTCATCCAAAATAATACAAATTGTGTAGGATAACGTAATAGTAACATTACAGTAAAATTTTGTCAACAACATAATAGCAACTTAAACATTAAATCTCGGTATATCTATAGACTAGCTGGCCCCAGCGACTTCGTCCGCGTGAAATTTTATTTTATTTTTCTAAAATAACAGTAGCGTAAGTTACTCCTTATTACATCAGCTACTTGCCAAAAAAAGTCCCGTCAAAATCGGTCCAGCTATTTCAGAGATTAGCCGGAACAAACAGACAGACAGACAGACAAAACTTGTAAAATATGTTATTTTGGTGTATGTACCGTATTTATATTCATATGCAAGTAGTAAAAAACGGTTATTTCAATATTACAAACAGACACTCCAATTTTATTTACATGTATAGATGTATAGATTAAAAAAAAAGTAACAGTCATAAGGCTAGTCGTATGCCTAATATATATAATAATGTAATAAATTCATTTAAACAGAAATTGCGGGAACATTATTTAAATTTGTAACTTTTTTACTGTCCTTCTCCTTTTTTCACATCTTTCTGTTATATCCATATAGTTCTCTCTATATTTTCTGATTTTCTTACTTTCAATTTGAGACTGTACTTATAATTTGATTATCGGATCATTATGTATTTACTTATATATAATATTTATACATTTATGGGTTATATTTAGATATATATTTATGTATGTATATTGTTATTTTTTTATAGAAATGTATATTTTGCTTATCTTTATTATCTTTATAAATCTTTTTTTGACATTTCTTATTTATATTAGTGCACCGCCAATAATCTTTCGCTGCACCACTCATGGTTGCCTGGTAAATAACGCGGCAAAATATTAAGTCCGCCACATGTACAAATTTTTTTGTGCATTAAAGTTAAAGAAATAAAAAAATACAATACTGTTTAATGAAAATGCGTGTTGTCTAGTGCTTTGAGATGTATCAAAATAAGGTCAACAAAAAAGTCCGTGATGGTATATGTCTATCTCTTAAGGATAACCAACAATAACCATTTTTTATCTTTTACATTTTACGGGATTTTTTTTTATCGTATGTTTCCCTTAAAATCATGTAAACTATGTTATTATGTCATAATCTAAAGAAATAATAATATTTTATAGTGACATATCCACTATAAAATACCAAAAAGTAGCAATGTAATTCGTTACGCGCGAATCAGGTGTTATAAGGTCAAAGGTCGGTGCACCCCGCGTATTTGATAAATAGTGCTTCTCTGGATGTCTTTAAGAGAAAATGGCAGTATGTACGTGTATATGTACAAGTCCTTAAGTGTTAAGTTTTTCAAATGTACATACAGTAAAGAATAAATATTTTTAAGTACAGTACTTACGTACATTAATATAATACCTACTTTTTACTTGTATCTATTGTTATCAAAATTAAATTATAAGTTCTTAACTTGACCACGACTATGTGACCCTCTCTTGGCGCCAAAACGAGTGAAAAAATGAACAGCATACGACGACGACGCAGTACCTATAGAGTGGAGCAACTGCTTATTCAGTTTTATTCAACTATTTAGTCCCTCCACCGTTACAATGAATGGAGGCGGATATTACAATGTACGTAGCATTGCGAATATAAAATATCTAGATTAGGTATAATAAATTCATAATTCATAGGCCGTTACGGTATCAGAGCCAAAGTCTTCTTTCTTTGTTTATGTACTGTTAGATGCGACAGCGACTTTGTTTTTATATTACTATGTAATGATTGATATACCTAAAATAAATAAAATATCTGAGGTTTGGACAAAAATTCAAAAGGTACTTAATTTTTAAAAAGTATTTTGAAAATACCTATTTTGCATTTAGTATTTGAAATACAAAACACAAAACTATTTTTGTTTTTAGAGTGACATTTCTATGAATTCACTGTCGATAGCGAGCGGTGCGATGGAAAAAGATAACCGTTTATAAAAATATAATAAATAACCCTGGACAATTAACACAGACTGATACTGAACTGATATAAATAGATATTTTTATTTTGTAAATACATATATAATATACATATAAAACACCCAGACCGATGAAAACAATCGATGACCGATGAGTACAAATGTTTGCATCGTGCGAGAAATCGAACCCGCGACCATTGGATGTAAAGCGGTGTGACCACCGAGGCAGTCGAAATATATAAATAATCTTATGAATTTAATTTATTCTAATTTGTTTGTGTGCGCGGGGTGCGGTGTACGGTGCTCCCCCCTGCCTCCACCGTTGCTGGAGCTTGCATGTATGGAGCATTGCGAATATAAAATATCTAGATTAGTAAATTCATAATTGATAGACCGTTACGGTATCTATATATATTCGGATTAAAATAAGTATCGCAGTAAGGACCAGTATATAAAGTGATCAACACAATTAACTGATTTTTGAAATATATATACAGAGCCAAAAAGTCTTTGTGTATTCAAAAAATATCTAATTTGTTTGTGTGCGCGGGGTGCGGTGTACGGTGCAGGGGGGACCCTGCCTCCACCGTTGCTGGAGCTTGCATGTATGGAGCATTGCGAATATAAAATATCTACATTAGTAAATTAATAAAGTCATAATTGATAGACCGTTACGGTATCTATATATATTCGGATGAAAGTAAGTATCGCAGTAAGGACGAGTATATAAAGTGATCAACATAATTAATTGATTTTTGGAATATATTCAGAGCCAAAAAGTCTTTGTGTATACCAAAAATTTAGCCGTTCGGAGCCATTCAGTCACGAATTATTAGTAAAAAAAGTGTCGAGTATATCGTACTATCGACGAATATATATGGCCACATCGCAAAATAGAATGCGACGTTGCCATACCGCCTGAGATATACGCGATAGGAGTCAAGTTATTCAGTGCAAAAGGTGGAATCAGCAAGTGTGTAGGTTGTGGCGTGATCAACAAAGTGCCCAAAGAGGTGTTTATATATATATATATATATATATATATACATATTATATAGTACTTTTTCAGTTAATAAATTCCTATGTTTTAGGTACGGAAAGCAGCACAGCATGCTGTAACGTCCATACTTCGAGGCAGCTGCTTTATGATACCTTCCGAAGATCTGAAAACTAAGGTACATATACATATAGTTTGTTTGATTGATCATGACATTTGGAATATATGTAGCAATTGTGATAGAGAAGGATGTGGTGGTTTACTTTCTATCTTGGTCAATAAGTTTGTATTAACACAAAATCTTAAAAGCAACACACAAGTTTCTTTCTCATTCTTTTTAGTGAGACTGCGTTCCGAATGAGTTGTCGAATAAAAAAAATATGACTACTCGAAAGTGGTTATATTCAGTTTATTTGAATAAAGATAATTTATAAATAAGTATATTAAAAAAAAATACATGTTTATGAGATTATATTTCTAGGTACCAAAAGTTCATCTGGCGTCGAATCGCGTGGCAGAATTCTGTTTGTCGCAAATAAAGGCAGAAGCGCTTCTATCCGGTCACCGCACTGTGTTGCATACATTGACGATGCTTCGCGATGTGTTGCCAATATTTAGTAAGGATTATATAAAGGTAATTTTGTAATATACTTTTATTTATCCATTACAAATAAATATATTACATAGAAAACACCCAAACTGATACAAACAGTCATACTCATGAATACAAATGTTTGTGCCGTGCGAGGAATCGAACCCATGGTGGTGGAAGTAAGGCGGTGTGTTAAACCGCTAGACCACCGAGGCCGTATTAATAAAAATATAATAAAAAAAATTTTTAAAAAATTAATGAATTTATATCATCTATATATTAATTCGTGAAGCAGAAATATTGTTTTTTTATTGAATTAATTTGATAAAATACAAATTTTCAGTTTACCAACTACCAGTCCTGTAATAATCTGTCATAGTCTTTATTAAACTGATTTCTTTAACTAACCTGGCAACATCAACCTTGCAGTCGTGCTGTGAAGCAATACTCTCCCTGATGACCCACAACAACGTGTATATAAAGACGTGCTGTTTGCACGCGTTGCACGCACTCGTCTCAGCTCGTGCTCCCAACACCAATCTGCCAGCTGCGCTCGCCGTGCAACTATCTCGCGCGTTGCTTGCAGCTCGACCACCTGCCTCCGATACCGGGCAGGGTCTGGCCTGGACTACTGTGTTGCAACAGGCCTACTGCTGTCTCGCCAGGTTAGTATAAACCTAACTGTGATATAGATCCTTCCAGAGAAACGAATAAAAAAATCGATTAATAGTAATTTAAAGTATATGTTATTGTTATGTAAGCATATTTGTATTGACAATTATGTAAATTGGATAAATGCTTCTAATTTTAAAAGCATAGTCTTAAATAGAATAAAAAGGAGAGGATGAAAGGAGGTCTACACCAAAAAATTGATTAAGGCTTAAAAGGAAGAGATATATATTTATTTATTATATAGAGAGAGATTATAGAATACTCAATAAAAAAATATCAGTGTTACCATAGACAAAATATTCTTTGCTTACTACATTAAACACTTTAACATATAATGTGTGTTTGTTTGTATACACAGTTTGGATCTGAATATGTGTATGCCGAATTTGCCGATGTTTGTGAATATTTGCGTGTCGGAGCTCTGGTTGTCTGATGTAGCCGACATCACCTCAGCAGCCACGAACGCGTTGAAGGTGGGTTTCATTTTACAATTAATTTTTTATGTAACTGGATTTTTTTTTTCTCTCTATCTGCGATCAGCCCTTCCGGCTATAATCAGATTTTTTGAAGTTATTGGCTTTTTGAGATGAGGCCTCTCCAGTAAGGTGCCATCTCATTTACTTTCTTTAGATGTTGGCAAGGCGAGCTCTTTTTAATCTAGATGGACAGTTATTTATATCCAGTAGTTTTGAAGCTAACTGGTTCTTATGGCCGGCTAATCTGTGTTTATATCTTCCACAGGCTTTCTGTATCTCTTCTTTTACAGTTGGAATTTCTAGATGTGTATGTACTTCAATGTTTTTTATGAACCAAGGAGCTCTGGTTTTTAATGCCTTGTTTTGGAAGCGCTGAAGAATTTCTATGTTAGAGTGTGAAGGATGTAACTGGAATAAACGTTCAATATATGGAGTTAGAGAAGGATGGAAAGAATTCGCTGGAAAGAGAGACACGAACTTCTTAGAATCCATGGATTCCCCTTGCGGGTGCCGGGTCTATTGTGTGGCAGAGAGGGAAGCTCCAAGCAGTTCACGGGACTTATTTACCCGGGTATAATGGAAAGAGCTCTTTGCCGACGTGCTTTAACACTCACCTTCACCGCTCGTGTTTTTCTCCCAGCCCAACCAAATTTGGTTGAAGCCTATAGGAGTCTTGCGTATATGTAATTTTCTCAGAATAGCGAAAGTCTGTGTATAAAATTTTTCTTCTTCAGGCTGTGCTATTGGATTGTGTAAAACCAGCGATTGATTCGGACGAGTTCCCTAAATACAAACAACATGTGGAATCTATATACAAGACTATTGGCACAGGTCTCGACAACCCGTTCAATCACGCCATCAAACACGTCATTATGACTTCGGCTGTATGTTTTGAGGTATGTGGTTTTGAATAATAATAAATGATAATTTTAATTAATGAAACCAGAAATAATAAAAAATTCTCCCACAGATCGGAACAGAAAAAGTTGCCTATATCCTTGGGCCATTATTAAAAAAACTGAACGAACGCCGAGAGAGTCACAATTTCCATAACGACAAGGAAGTTGAATATGCCACTGGATGCGCAATTAAATCTTTAGGTCCCGAATTCGTCCTCAAAACAATACCATTGCGAGATTCACCAGACAGCATCAACCTCGACAGAAGTTGGTTACTACCAGTCTTAAAAGAGAAGATTGCCAATTCAAATATAAAGTACTTCGCCACGGAGATTCTAGAAATGGCAACATTCTGCCGGAAGAAAGCTAGGGAGCTGAGTCAAGCCAAGGATATGCCAGGGTCGCATACGTACGATTTGCTTTGCAATCAATTCTGGGCGCTGTTACCGAGTTTCTGCAACAATCCTATGGATGTTAAGGAGAATTTTAAGGCTGTTGCGAGAGTGTTGGGTAATTATAAATTTTAATACAACTGGTTGTATTTAGGAACAAATAACTATAATCTAAGAGGTAGATCTTCTAAAACAACTGGTTGAAACTTTAAAACATAATTAATTTTATAATACATTAAGCATTACTTAAAAATATTTAAATTATCAATGATAATTATTATTATTTAGTCGTAATAACCCTCACTATAGCCATCATCTTTATTCCGAATTCTGCATTAGAATCGGTACTAAATGTTTGTACAGAATTATTAGAAATTGCTATGAGAATGTTCATAAAATTACTCAATTAACAATTTCTAGTTGTGTTCTATATTACAATTATCTTACAGGAAATGTATTAAAAGACAATCCGGAGTTCCGTCTGTCTGTAATGCAAGCCCTACGCAAATTGATCGCTTGCACAGCAGACAACGCAGACGACCAAACGGAACTAGCCAGATTTGCTAAGAACTATTTACCTATATTGTTGAATATATACATGACCCCGGCAAAGGGCAGTACTGCTGAAGGCCAGAGATTGGCAGCTTTGGAAACTATACAGGTAGATTATTAAAATTCCGTTTGAAGGAAGTATTGTTTAAAATCAACCCTATACTCGGTGTAAGCACAGTTTTTTATATTGGAGCCCATTAGTTTCTGTCCCCCATCTTTTCCCCTTACCTATGATAGTACGGACCGCTTCGTCTCAGGCACTCACGTTTCCTAACTGCAGTATAAATTAATTGCAAAGTGAGTGGTTAATTGAATGTAAACAAGTGAAAACATCACCTGGACTGGTCTGTGTTAAGGAGTCCACCTAGAGAAACCCTATCAGGAAGGCTCCTGATAGGGTATCCTGGACTTCGGTACAGGTACCTTTTACCTCACGTTTCCACATATAATATTTTCCCTACCAATAGTTAGAAATTTGAGTATTATTCTTTTAAATAAATGAAAGATATCATTATAAGGAGACAGTAAAATTTTTTTTTCAATGCAGGTATATCTAATTATAAGTGAACAAACTCTTCGGGAAGAACTCTTCAAAAATTCCGTCCAACAATTGGAACTATCAACAGATAACCATTTCCAAAGAGAGTCTATCCTGGATATTATTAGACTACTGGTATTGTACCAGAATAGTGATGAGATTGCTCTGTTGTTTGACAAATGGGTTTATCCTCTCTGTGAGACGGTTCTAGAAGATCCAAAGAAGTTTAAAAAGGCCAAGAAGGAAAAAGATGCAATGGAAGAAGACAGTGGAGAGTCTAAAAAGAATGTATTGAGGTAAGTTTTATTAAAATAGTAACAACTTGACTTGAATAAGTCGAAGTGGTCAGTCAGGTCATAGCTAGCACAACCTGATTGGAATGATCTACTAAACTTTGTGGTAGTACATAAAAAGGGCAGCGAAATCTGGTAAGTCCTTGCTAGTGCAGTTTTAGATACGCGTTCTAGTATAGAACGCACTACAATTCTAGATAACCTGCCCTTCCAACCAGTTCCCGTGACTTCTAACCAAGATGTAGGTTTAACACACTGCTCGTGTGTTAAACCTACATCTTGGAACACGGGAACTGCTTGGAGTTTCTCTCTCTGCCGTACGATGGACCCGGCACCCGTAAAGGTGAATGCTAAGAATTTTGTCTCATTAGACCTCACTATATTAATAATGTGCAAATAAAAAGTCAAGTCTCTATTAAATAGGTGAAGTGATTTTGAAGCCATTTTTCTTCATACAGGAATCGACATCAGGATTCTTTACTTCCTTCTTTAATCTCACATCAGAATTTGTTACAATTTTTACTAAACCGTAATTTCAGATACAAAGACAAGGCGAAACTCCTCGAGATGGAGCACAAGAAAGCGTACAGGATATTAGAAGAGATCTTCAAGAGTGACAGAGACAATTGCAAACAGTTCCTGACGGCGAACTATAAGAAAATAAAGAAATTGTTAATGAGTTCATTGAACAAAGTTGCAGATAGCAGTAAAGCGGCCAGGCTTAGGTATGTATTTGAGGATGATGGACTGTGGTTCATCCCGCGCTGTTTTTTTAAATATTTTACTAATAATTGTGTTTAGGATAAATCCTTCGTAAAGTTCCATTCAAAAATTTAATAAATTTATATTATGATTAATTCTGCTATAAATATAACATTAGCATGTGTGAAACCACAAATATTTAGTGCGGAATCTTATCAACGTTATTGGAAGCGCTACGGCTTTCTCTATTGGAAATCAAATCGAACCGTTATCGGATTTAAACCCATGTTACTACGTGTTTCGCCTCTGAACGAGGCACCATCAGGCAATGAATGGAGTTCGGATATACCTTGGAAGTCTAATAGATAGTTATATCAGTAAAAATACTAGAGTAACTCGTAATTTTTAAACATACGCAACGAAATATAGACATTAAGTTTTGCACTCAATTAACAATGTCTCTTCCATTTGAGATTACGGTTGTGGGATTAATATTTATTTATATATTAAAACTTTAATGCACAAATAAAGGTGCACATGGACTTAACACCTTGAGTCATTTTCTCCCAGTCAACCATACAACAAACAGAGCTTCATGTGGGCTGTACATTATCAAATTTAATATTAAAAAGAAAAGATAATTTTGAATCTAATAATTTTTATTGTGTTATATATGTAATAATAATAGCCTTTATTAACTTTTAAGTTTTCAAATTTCTAATTATACATATATTATACTACATGTGTTCCTGTTAGTTTACATATAATTGATTTTTTCCTTCTGAATGTTTTCAGTGATGTAACATAGGCCTCCTCCAAGTTTTTCCAAATTCCGGTCTTTTGTTACAGATGTATGGAGCATTTAATAGACGCGATGCCGTCCGTAAACGCAGACAGCAAGCTCTTGAAGAGCGCCATAGCGGAGTCCGTTATATGTACAAAGGATATCAATTCCAAATGCAGACAGTGTGCATTCAACGTGATTAGCTGCGTTGGTAATAAACTCAAGGCTCAGGAAGGAGGTTGGTAATTTATACATTAACTTTATCTCACAATTCTGTCATTGCATATGGTACTTCTATAGGTACTATAGGTACTTCTATATGGTACTACTATAGGGGGGGGTGGGGGAGGGATTCAGCAAAAATCACAAAATATCACAAGAGGGATTGAAAGGGGGTTTAGTACCATATCTCGTGTATTTTGTCGTAAATCGCGCGATTTCTTAACCATAAAGTGACGTGTATTGTCTTGACTTTTCTTTTCTAGAATAAAATTAGACTACACTCTATATAATATATCTTTAAAGACACTATTCTAAAAAGTTTAAGATAATTTGGATATTAAAACTACACGTGATTTTGGGTAGGGAGCTAGCATTCAACCTCACATGTATCACCAGGTTTGAATGTTAAAAAAACATATGTCCACCTACCAGACAAAAAATCGAAAATGATTGTGGAAACCAAAATCAAAATCTAAATTGTTTATTTTATAAACTATAATATAATAATATATAATTGATTAAGTGGTTTTGGTGTATATCCTGAATAAACATCACTTCAAATTTAATTCTTATATAAAGTTGATATAGTAAAATTAGATATTATTTTATAAAAAAAATAGTGGATTACTGTATTATTGGATGCAATCTAAGCATGAACTGCAGTAATTAAATCTAATTAATTCCCTCCACCAGGTATGCAGGGATTCCTATCACTATTAATGTCAGGACTGTCAGCCCCTCTTCCTCGCATCGTCAGCGCCACCCTCAGAGCGATGGCTTCAGCACTTTTTAACTTTTCTGAAGACATGGGTCTGGAGTCCGTCCAGGATCTGTTGGAGAAGGTGGCAGAACAGATGAAGACCAGTAATAGGGAGATAGTCGCCGCTTCATTGAGTTTTATTAAGGTGATTAAAATATTTTCTTCCACTGCTTTCTTCAATTTTTTTAACCTTTTACGGCCATTTCTTTTAATGGAAGATAATGGAATTGTGCACTATCTGCGTTGACGGTTGTCATTGCATTGCACCAGGGGAGGATGATACATACAGATTTCCCAGGAATTTATAACAATGGTTTCCAGGGGCAATTGCATGGATATCAACCTGACCATCACAAGCAATGGTGCAAAAGACATTTGTGTTTATGCTATAATATTATAAAACCTATTCCTATTTTAGGTATATACCAAGGTACTTCCAAATGAAGTGCTGGCTGGTAGCTTGCCTGTAATCTTTAAAGCCCTCTGTTCAATGTCTGATGATTGCAAACGTCATTCCCGACTAGAAATAGGCTACTTCCTCACAAAAATGGTGAGGAAATATGGAGCTGATACTATAGAGAAATTAATAACTGATGAAGTGATGCTGAGAAGGTTGAGGAATATAAGGAAAATGGAGAATAGGAGAAAGAGAATGAAGGACGGACAGAAGTGAGTAATGGTTAAATAATATGTTATGTTTTTATCACCAATTTAGTTAATGACAATGGCTACCCCATTAGGGTTAATATTTGTAAAGGCAAAATAGATTATTACTAGTAGACGCGACAGACGTCTTTGATGGAATTAGATATATGGGAAGTTAGTGTAGGGGAGTAGCCACTGTATTGCTAGCAATGTACGATAACAGATTGACCTCCCCGTGGTTCCCCTAAAATCTATCCTCGTTGTCGCCAAAATGGGCTGATGGATCTGACTTCATGCTCATCCTGTCATCTTCTACTGGTACCCCGCCAGCGTATACTGTTAGCGCAAGCGAGCTTACAATTACAAAGTATTAAAAAATATTATAATTCAGGGATCAATCAAGTGACTCCGAAACAGATGCACCAATCAAAGGCACATCAAAGACCCTCGAAGATATTCTCAAAGATTCAGACTCAGAAATGGAGTTCCTAGACGACGAAGACGAGAGGCCGAGACAGAAGGCCAAAAAGACCAGAACTCCAGCCAGAAACCAGGCATGGATAGAAGATGATCCGGAGAACATTGTGGACTTGGCTGATGTTTCATCCTCCAGAAAAATAACAGGTATGTGAATAGATTTGAAAATGTCTTAAGAGGCTGTTCATTAATTACATGATGTTTTTTAGCATTAAATAACCCCTCTGCACTCCCCCCTCAAACTACAACATTATCCTTTAAGTACTGATATATAATTTTTTAGCATCTTAATGTTTTTTTCTACCGCTAATTTTGTCATCACAAAAATAATGAGCTGGCATGTTGTTCTTTAAAATAATTATTGTACCTTTACATTTTCTAGTTGAAATGTGTAAATAGAAACTACCAACTAGCACCATTTCATTAGACTCAAAATTTAATATTTTTATACACACAATCAAATGGTCGAGTAACTAAATAAGGGTAAATCATCCGTAGTGATTAGAGCAGACCAGTCCCTAGTAGAGTAGTGATAATCCATTACTAATAAACCGACCATTCTCCCACATTCCTCACCCTCTACAAAGAGAAGCAGATAAGAATTATAAAGGAATGACTATTGTTACATAAAAAAAAACTTGAGATACTTATTTCTTCCACAGCAACGGACCCCAATCAAAAGAAGAAAGCGATAGAAGTAAAAGAGAAGAAGAAAGACGGCGGGTTCAGAACGGCAGCGGACGGCCGGCTGATCATCACCGATGACGCGTTCGATGATGATGATGATGAAGAACCTAAAGCAAGCGGTGACATCGACAGTGATACTGACGATACGGGTGGGTATACCCTGGTAGAAGTGTGAGAGTATAAAAATACTTATCTAGGGATTCACCCCTATTTCGCATATTTGCTATTTCGGAATCTTAATGAAATGAAATAAATTATTTGCGAAATATTAGTACAGTAGATATGATGTTATTATATATGAAATATTATTGATCAGCAATATTTATGCAAATGATATGAAAGTATTCTCGAATATTCTTGGACACTAACAATTACCAAGTGACTGCCAATTTTTGGGTTTGCGACGTTTAAACAATGTATGAGAACAATATCTCATTTCTGTAATGTCCTTTGGAAGTAAATGTTTAAATAATTATTAATTAATAACTAATAATAATTGTGAAAAAAAAAACTTACAAAATGGACTCAATAATTTTTTTATACCCGGTAGGTATATATAATGTGAGTAGTTCTTAAAAACTATTTTAAACCGAACCCGGTGCAGTGTTTAAACTAGGCCAAGCATGTCTCTCAGATGCAATTAAAAATATATGTATTGTGGGATATTGAAATTCACTGACTGTTATTCCAGATGGGATAATGAAATAACGTTTCATAGACGGCCTAGGTATTGTAGCGTTTTAGCACACCTCCTGACTTCAGATGGTCGCGGGTTCGATTCAAACATATTGGTCTAGGTATTTCTATGTAAATTATGTATGTATTTATAAAAAAAATGTCCTCGAGTATTTCTATTAGATATTTAGTATAACAACACAAATTCTTGAGACTAGATGGCGCTGTGTGCATCGTCCTGGTTTATTATTATTTGTAGGAATATTTATGTATTTACATGTATATATATATATTTATTCATGTATATTCTATAAAATATTACAATATTGTTTGCACCGCCAACAACTTATCTCTGCACAACTCATGGTTGCCTGGTAGAAAATGCCATTAGGTGTTAAGTCCGCCATATGTACTTTTTACCTGTGTATGACGTGCATTAAAGTTATTTAAATAAAAAAAAAAATTATTAATGCCATTGTTTAGAATGTTTTTTTTTATTTATTTAGATGATGAAGGTCAAGGGAAGCCTTCCAGACTCATCAAGCCTGGTGCCAAGCGCCGTTATGACGATATACTTAGTATAAAGAGCGGAAGGTCGAACCGTAGCAAAGCGTCTACAGCTACAGTAACGTCTAAGTATAAAGCTGGAGGAAAAGGTATACATAGGTAAGCCTGTTTTTTGTCTAAGTGTCTTCTATGTAAGATATGTATGTATTTGACGACCTCGGTGGTCTAGCGGTCAAGCACACCGCTTTACGACCGATGGTCGCGGGTTCGATTCCTCGCACGGCACAAACATTTGTATTCATGAGTATGATTGTTTGTATCGGTCTGGATGTTTTCTATGTATAATATGTATGTATTTACAAAAAAAATATATCTATGTATATGTATCAGTTATCTAGTACCCATAACACAAGCTCTAGCTAGCTTAACTTGGGTCTAGATGGCTCTGTGTGAATTGTCCTGAGATTATTATTATTATTTAGAAAAAAAAATATCTAAGTATTTATATCAGTTGTCGAATACCCATAACACAAGCTGTGTTTACCATGGGACTAGATGGCGTTGTGTTAAATGTTGAGGGTTATTTATTATTTATATATTCCATCTCCGCAGGCCCCTTGGATCAGCGGCGTCTGTAGCATCCAATATCGGCAATGAATTCAAATCTAAGAAGGCGAAGGGTGACGTCAAGAAGAAGGGAAAACACGACCCTTACGCGTATCTACCGCTGTCCAGGAAAAATCTGAACAAAAGGTATGGTTTAGTATTTTTTTTTTATATTTTCATTGCTATTCAAATTCAAATTTTTCATATTCAAAATATCTTATTCATGTAGGTATATTACAGACTCTTATGATATGTCAAATCTACCGTCAGTTCGGAATGATATCGAGATGAGAAGAACTGACAAGAAACTATTTAATTGATATACCTATATAACCTAAGAAAAATACATTTTCTATACGAACAATGCGTGTCTCTCTCGTATTAAATAAATTAAATGAAATAATATTTATTAATATTCAACTTAAGAAAAATGCATGTTCTATACGTACAACTGTGTTTGTGTACTGAGTCTATCGCATGAAATAAATCAAATTAAAAAATATTTTTTCATATAGGACTTTTGGGCCTGTTATATAATATAGAAGTAATATTATTATTATGTATGAGGATATATATGATAAAATGACGTGTAGTCATTATGTTTTTATCGACGATCTCGGTGGTCTAGTGGTTTAGCACACCGCTTTACGTTCGATGGTCGCGGGTTCGATTCCTTGCACGGTAACATGTCGTTTCATCCCTATGGGCCGTCATATCTAATCTTACTTTCCTTTCATGCATATAATGTTTCACACAATCCATCCATAGGTTCATACTTATTATAAAAAGCTCGCAACACACCTGTAATTCTACTGATGTTGCAGGTTTAAAAGGGTGGTTAAAATCATTTACTATTAGGTTCAAATCATACGCTCATTTGTCCCTATGTCATATAAAAAGTTAGATAATAAAGTTTATTTGTCTGCATTACGATATTCTTTATACTATGCGTCATTGAAATATATTTATTAAATTCTGATAAAACTTTTTATCAATTTATTTACAGAACAAAGGCGATTACGTCCAAACAATTTAAGGGTATCGTGAAATCGAAGACAAAAGGTGGAAAAGTGAAGTCAAAAAATAGAAAGTGATTTATTTATATATGTACGGTTATGACTATTAAATGAAATTATTATGTAAAGATGTTCTTTCTTTCTATACTATAGCAGATTCAGTAAATATTACTTATTGAAATGATCATACGGCCTATCTACGCTAACAGAGAGGATAGGATGAGCATGAAGCCAGATACATTAACCTATTGTGGTATATTCATCCAGAATTAACTTGGATGTTTTACAAGGAGACCGCGTGGAGGTCGACGTGACATGGTATGTTGTTAGACATTACCAGAGCAATGGGTCTGGTAAAATGCCTATATACATAAACATATATATGTATACGAGTATATATAACATATAGATATATTATTGAAGACCTCGGTGGTATAGCGGTCTAGCACACCGCTTTACATCCGATGGTCGCGGGTTCGATTCCTCGCACGGCACAAACATTTGTATTCATGAGTATGATTGTATCGGTCTGGGTGTTTTCTATGTATAATATGTATGTATTTACGCAAAAAAAAATGATCTATGTATTTGTATCAGTTATCTAGTACCCATAATACAAGCTTCAGCTAGCTTAACTTGAGTCTAGATGGCGCTGTGGGTATTGTCCTGAGATTATTATTATTATTATACATCTATATATATAATAATAATAATAATAATCTCAGGTCCTTGTTCGACGCTCGTATTTTACCTCTATAAAATATGAACGTCGAACAAGAACCCAGTTGACATTGTGATTCATATACGTTTTCAAGAAAAAGGTATGTACATGAATATAATTGACAATAATGTTTTTTTTTGACGATTTCAGAAGGTTTCGCCAAATCTCGATATCTTTTTATAGATAATCACGTTAAAAAAAGCAGTATATAAAAAAAATGTTTTATATATTTTTACTTTCTGTTTTTTTATAGCGATTGTTTTTATAACAGTTTTGTATGTACTACGTTTTTTCTCTAGAAATTGAATATATACATTTACTTTACCAAGGAACGTGTCGTGACTTTTATTACAGTCCTTAGTCACATGAATAAATAAATAGTAATCAGTTAATTCTTTTATAGTACACTGATTCATGGAAATATGAAATTAATTACCAATAGTATTACTTATTAAAAGCACAAACATGAAATACAAGGGCAAACCAATGTCGTAGAATCGGAATTTATTTTTAAAATAGATGAGCTGATTTCAACTGACTGTCTAGAGCAGAGGTTCCCAAACTTGCCATATTATTCGGTTTTGGGTAGACCCCCCCCCCCCCCATTTTTACTTGGTATTGATATTGTATAAATTTCTAACTGTAGTAAAGTTTAGTATTACAAACATAAAGTAAAAACAACAAGATGACCGCTTGCAGTTTGTTATAGACCCCTGGGGGTCAATATAGACCACTTTGGGAATCACTGGTCTAGAGCGTAAAAGTGGAGTGTAGCAGTGAAATAGAGCATACTGAGACTTAAAGCTACATGTTCGACTCCTCTCTATATAAAAGGTGCTACTATGAAATATTTTCAACAATAAATACTTAAACACATCCTATAAGTCGTCTGATAGTCAGATGTTCTTTAAATAATTTTGTTTTAGATTTACATGTAACTGAAAATCTCGATTTTCACAAAAAAATTTCATTTGTATGTAAAAGTATTATTCTGACGTATAAGCTATATTAGTTTACAATTTCATCAAATTCGGATTAGTATTTTTTGCGTGAATGAACAATAAACATCCATCCTCACAAACTTTCGCGTTTATAATATTATTTTTTTATTTTACACTTTTTTGCATCAGTTACAGAAAATATTAATTAATATAAAAATATGTATATACAATGACGAGTACAAAAGGCGGTCTTATCGCTAAGCAATCTCTTACAGTCAACCCTTAGGTAGACGGTGAAGATATAAGAAAAAGAGTAGGTGGTACAAATGACTACACAACTAATATAGGTATAAATAATACATGCAAATATACATACCTACACAATACACATATTCATGGAAAGTTTGAAGGAAAGAAAGGGACTATAAGAAAACGAAAAGTAGAACTAAAGTGAAAGGAAATGAGTTTTTACTAATGCTTTAAAGCTAGCAAGAGATTGAGCGCACCGAATAGGAGCGGGAAGCGAGTTCTACAACCTGGAGGCGAGTTCCAAGTCTGGACAGAAAATGATTTTGAATAAAAGGAAGTGGAGTTTGGGAAATCTAAGACGGAGAATGTTTACGCTACGCAAGGAATGACAACTACTCTCACTGAAAAATTAGTAAAATAATAGACTAAACCAAGTAGAGTGGAACGTAATTTACGGCAAAATTTTGACTGAAAGTATTGCTATCGCGCTAGGGTGAGCGAAATGCAAGGTCTCTGAATAGAGATGACGAGAGAATGAATGCTGAAGAATAACTAAATGGTAATTTTATCTTGTAGATGCATTCCCCTTAACACGTTAATGTTTGTTTGTTAGTTTCAGCATATGTTTTAATTTAGTAGATTGTTATTTTTTTATATATTATTTTATGACGCCTCTTCGTGTTAGTACTGCAATTTATTTTATATTACGTTTCTATCCGTGAAAACCTGTAAGTGGCCGTTCTGATTTAATTATGTTTGTAAAAAGCCTTAGTTTTCCGAAAATAAATAAATCAACATCTTGGTTTTCATCAATGGCAACTTATTACGAATAGTATCGCTTAGGGATTCCATGGGAGTCGCATCATTATCTTGATACATGTGACAGGATTGTAATTCCATCATAGGCATCACAAAATTCCATCCTGTGGTTCGCCATTCCATTCACACAGAATGAAATAAATATTCGTACGACTGTATTCCCACATCACCAATGTCGTTGGTTATATTTGAAATCAACATGATAGGGAGCGAAGGTATGGCGGTAGTTTCGCTTCAGATTAGTACAAAACTAATTTATATTATAATTATTATAGATGTTTCCATTACCGGAGAGTAATTAATAATAATAATAAACCTGGACAATTCACACAACGTAATCTAGTCCCAAGCTAAGCAGTGTTTGTGTTATGGGTACTAGACTTATATAAATACATAGATGCTTTTTTTTGTGAATACATACGTAATATACATAGAAAACAAACCGATACAATCATACATATGAATACAAATGTTGGTACCGTGCGAGGATACGCACCCGCGATCATCGGAAGTGAAGCGGTGTGCTAAACCCCTACACCACCGAGACCGACATCTATACATATAAATAAAATTGGAGTGTCTGTTTGTAATATGGAAAAAACCGTGTTTTACTACATGCATATGAATATAAATAATATGGTACCTACATACACCAAAATAAGTTTTTACAATTTTTGTGTCTGTCTGTTTGTCCGGCTAATTTTTGACGGGACCATTTTTGGCAGGTAGCTGATGTAATAAGAAGTAACTTAGACTACTTTTATTTTAGAAAAATTCATTTATGTTTAAAATAATAAAGTTACATTCCACGCGGACGAAGTCGCGAGTACAGCTAGTTAGAATATATAATAGTCTAATTGAAACCCATTTTTTATACTAAGATGGTGACTAACGATCTGACGGTAAATGGTTAGTGTGCCCGAAACACCAGGGGTATCAAGTGCGCGTTGACTATTCTTAAGAAGCTTTAATATACCCTTCTTGAAAAACCCCATGCTACAGTCTCTAGACAAAATCATTACGTCACAATACTCTCAAGTAATAATTAATTTGTATCTAAAATTGTCTGCATGAATAAATTACTGGTTCTGACCTAAAACAAAAATAAAACTGTTGATGAATCGGTTATTATATTAATTAGAGTACTGCTTATTTTGTAATTTAGAGTGATCTCGAACTGGTTTGCTATGTTAATATAAGTCAGTAATAAGTTTAATTATATACTACATACGTACGTGCACTCCCTCTTGAAACAGTTATTACGAGTAGCTGCCAGGTTTCGTAACGTGGGAATCTGTGTTATTCGAAGCAATTTTCCAGCGCCGTCACAAAAAATATCCACCTAGGTGTGATAATGAATAAATTAAAACAAGGTACTTTAGTTATTGAGGTATTTGCCTTTATTTTCAAAAGAAGGCGATTTACTATTATGGATAGACTTATCATAGTATTTATATTTTTACATGGAAATTGTCATCACATTAAACCGTCATTAATCTAGGCCATTTATCAGTATCAACAATGAGTAATATGTCATTTCGAAAAAATACAACCATTCTGTATATTAATCTATTTTAATTCATTGACACAGACCGACTATCGCATCGGAGAAGTATTTTTTTAAAAAAATCTTATAAATAATATACAAAATAATACAAATATTAATTCGCTTCTCGACAAAAAAATGAGATTTAACATTATCATAACATTAAACTCCAATCGGGATAAAATTCGTGATTACCTTTACAACGTGAGTCCGATTCGATTCTTTACAGAAAAATAAATATACAATATGCGACTACACAACCAATGATTGCTTTTGCGAGTTCAGCACTTCTCGTCGGCGAGAACGTCGAGCGTGAACCCGAGATCGAGCACGGCGGGCGGCGGCCGCTTCGGGTGCTTCAGCGAGCCGCCGCCCGCCCGCGGCTTGTGGCCCGCCGCGCCCGCCACCCCCATGGGGCTCACGTGGCCGTTCAGCGCGTGTCGCACCTCACTGCCCCCGAAAAGTTCGCTCAACGTCTGTTGCACCTCCTTATTGCCGCCACTGGTAGCACTACACGTCACTATAAGTTTACGCACTTCTGGCTTATTCGTTTTACTAGCGTTCATATGCACACTTTTCGATAACGACAGGGTGTTCTGATTGTAATAATAATTGTTCGTGGCACCCGTCGATTTGCACTGCGACCGCGACAGAGAAGACTTTATGTTACTCCGAACGGTTGCAAATTTTTTTCCTAAGGTGATCGCGCCGCCCGCATGCGATGCGTTGAAAGTACAGAGAGCGAGCGGCCGCGGGCAGGAACTATACCAGCAGACGTCGGAAGGGACTAGAGGAGGCGGGCCCTCGTCTGGCTTCTCGTCTATCCTCGCGGGCGGCGCGGCGTCTACGGGCGGCGTTACACTTAATATGGGCACGGTGGTTGGGATTTCCGCGTCGTCCGGCATCATAAAAGGGTCCGTCGTTAGCGGTTGACTCAGCAGCGAGGTAATACTCGACGTGTCCGGCAGCACAGAGTTGGGGTCGTCCACTCCGAGCAGGCTCTCGTAGATGGTCTCCACGTGCACCTGTTGTTCGGCCGTGAGCCCGTTGAATGTGCTGAGATCTAACGAATTGACTAGGGGCGGTGGGAGGTTGTGGGGCACGGTGGCGGCTGGCATGGCTGAGGCCGGAATTGAAGGCGGCGCAGGAGGGTGAACGACGTGCGGCGCGGCAGCCGAGGCAGCGGCGGCGGCCGCAGCCGTCGCGCCCGCATCTCGAGACGCCCGGTGCTCTGCCAGAAGCGTGTCGAATGGCTTCGACCGGCCCTCTACAGTCCTTCTTAAGGACAAAGCGTGAGCCTTACATGTCAGGGACCTAGTGCAAGGTTTCGCGTTCTCCACGGTGACCACACCACAGTGTTTATTCGGATCGTATTCTCGTAAATTAAATTTCGTTTTACTTGTTTTTGATCTAGATTGTGACTTGGTAGAGGGTGTGCTCGGCGTCGTCGCCCGCGGTTTTAAAGCTTGCGTACTATGAACATTTACATCTATCACAGATGGTAGCATTGGAGAGGTATTCGGTGCAAACTGAATATTGTTTAAATCTGTATCTGATAATGTATATGAGGACAGACTTTGTGTGTGTAATTGGCCATACAAATCTTGTGATTGTATAGGATCGGTGGTTTGTGGAAAGTTTATCTCTTGCATATTACCTATATCTCTTATAATGTTCTTCCAGTCTGCAGCATTTGTGATGTCGTCAGCACTCTGAATACCTTCAGAGTTCATAATAGCAAAAATATCATCAGTTATATTTTCACCAAGTGGCAAGTCATCCGTGTCCTGTATACTGACTACAGGTAACTCTCCACTTTCTACACACACTTGTACTTCCCCAGTCACCGCTGAGGATGTACTTGCTTCGTCTAGGTATTGCAATTCAGGTTGCGGTACGACTATCCTTGATAGTGGGGCAGTAGCATTATGAACTGGTGATGTCTCCATCTTCACTGGTATCAAATCTACAGGTAAGGGTGGAGCTTCCTTTTTATGCCGGCTTCGGTTTCTGAGTGTGGTGGCTGGCGGCGGCGGCGGTAGTAGGGGGTCCATACCAGAATGAGAGTCGAGCAAATGTCTGTAAGCCGCACTACACTTCACTATATCACCACACATATGACAGACAGCTGCATTTAAATTGTCCATCTGTGGAAACAGTCCATGAAGGCTCATGCTCTCATGTTTGAGGCGGTTGAGGCCCGCGCGCCTGTACCGGCCTCGCTCCGACGTCTTGTACGGATGCGAGTCGTGCCCCCGTCGGGCGGACACGCCGCCCTTCTCCACCGCCGCCGGCGTCGTGAACACTTCATCGTCCTCCCGCGGTAACACATGCCCGATTTCACTTATCCACTGGTCCCATGGTTTTTCATTACACTTCACAGGGCTTACTATCTTCGATGCGAATGGAAAGTCGCCGGACATATTTCACTTTTCACTGTTAACCTGGTGAAGAAACACGCGCGCGAGCTTACGGATTTCCAGCCATAGCGGGACAGGAATCACCTCGCTCCAGTAATAGGTTATTATCCCATATCTGCTTTGATATCGCTGCCGTCGAACGCACATTCAGGGTCACATTGTACCGCGATTGTTTACCTCATTATTTACATTCACTGATATAAAACTTATTCTGATTGTTTCAGCTTTTATATTTACAGGGACAGATGATCTATTTCACTGACAGCTGATTATGCAGATTGTAAGTTTTTCTCCACCATGAAACACTTCCATCTGTCGATGATGATTACGATAAAGTTGCTGACGTATAAATTGATTAATAATCTTGTTAATTAAGCGTTATTTATGTGATATTAAACTTGTATAACACAAATAAAATGTCTAAAATTTCTGTTTGGTTGGTTGTAATTTACTATAGAAAGCATCAACACTTTTTTGAGTATTTGTAAAGACCATTGTACTCTATGGTCATTCAATTTAGTGAATGACTGTGACGTGACGGGATGGTATTCTGAATCTAACTGTACTGTGTTTGATGATTCCAAAATGTAATTAGGTTTAATATATATATATTTTTAATATAAATACTAAACTGACTATGTATAAATACTAATTACTTTATGCTGCTAATAAAATACTTGATAACGACCAATGGATTTAAGAATAAAAAAGAAATAAAGTGTACTGATTCCTATAACGAGCACTGTTTAATACTTTTTTGGGAAACGAGTTTCAATCTACTTATTATTGATGTGAAAAATACTATATAATAACCGTTTTTCTTAATTAATCTATTATTTATCCATTTTTAATACAGAATGCCATGTTCTACTGCTAATGTAATTATAATTTTAATGTACCATTATCAATGAGATAATCGTAATATATAATTAAAAAATAAATAACATGGATACACTACTAATCTAAAACAATTACTTTAGTTATTGTTATGAGATGTCCGTTTAGTCATTTTGTGGTTTAGTTTGTGATACAGTGTAATCAATGAGGTAATAACTCTATGGTTTAGTTTGTTTTTCACAGGACTTAACAAAACGAAAGTAATTTGGTTTGCGATGTCAGTTAGTCAACTGAGTTGACAGTTTGACACATTTTCAAGACATTTCACCTGCTAAACTTCAGTTAAGATAAATTGCATAAATTATTTTTATATATTTATTGCCTGAACTGCATTTATAAATAACGGAAGCGAAATACACATAATTGTTGAATAACATGCAGTGACTCGAGTATGTCTGGCGATTTTCAGTGCCATAGTATCACGTGCCGGCGACTCGATGTGGCTCAAAAGCCTTTGCAAATCCATTCTATTTGGTTTACCCATTGGAGTTACCATCCTTGATACCGTGGGATATGTCGCTAGAGTCGAAGGAATATCTATGCAACCAGCCCTAAATCCAGAATCTACGAACACAGACTATGTCTTTTTATCGAGATTGGCAGTGAAAGATTACGAAATAAATCGAGGTGACATAATATCGCTAGTTTCACCCAAGGATCCAAATTTGAGGATGATTAAACGCGTCGTAGCGCTACAGGGTGACGTTGTGAGCACACTAGGTTACAAGAATCAGTATGTGAAAGTTCCAGATGGTCATTGTTGGGTTGAAGGTGACCATACTGGTCACACTCTTGATAGTAATACATTTGGACCGCTATCTTTAGGGTTAATAAATGCTAAAGCTTTGTGCATTGTGTGGCCACCGCAGCGATGGCAGAGACTGGAAACTAAGATTCCAGACCATAGGAAGCCAGTTAATTATCACACTATTTAGTGTTTTTAATTTACAATTGGAATTTTATAGTAGATTGAAGTGTTGTTACTTAATGAAACGATGTATAACAATGTTATGTACTGGTGACTATAAGCTTAGCATTATTTTTCATTGCAATAAATTACACATTTTACTGTGTAAATAAACATGTAAATTATTTTTGTAAATTTTCTTTCTAGTCTTGTTTGGTACGGGAGTTCTGTATAAACAGTGACAATGCAATTTTTAAAACATTGTACTAAATGATATAAAGCTAAGATCTTATATTAAATTATTTATACTACAAATTATAGGTACTGTCATGAAATTGGACAAATAAATTTTTGTTAAACTAATACTTATTATTTCTATATTAACTAAAAACATTTATGTTCTTTTTATTTATTTAATGTCAACTAATATAACAATGAATATACTATCATTCCTTTGAATATTTATTGCATATTCATTAGACCTTGATTTTCTAATATTCTTATGATTCTTTCATAGGAAATCCCCCTTCGTATTATATTATAATAGCCAACTTTGGATAAATCTATAACAGTGGATCCCGTTCTATTCTGATCCAGACCTCTACTCAATACTCCTCCATCAAACACTGCACCCAAGTGACTGTACAAATGTTCAAATTCCTTTATTGATAAAGTTGATGGTTCATTGCTAAAATTGGCACTAGTTAATGCAACAGGCATGTTAAAGGCTTCTGTTACTTTATTCATAAAGCTGTGGTTTGGTATTCGTATTCCAATTTTTGTTGTGTGTGGGTTAAGATATGGGTTATTCAAATGCTTTGTTTTCTCCAGAACTATTGTTACTGGTCCAGGGAGTAAAGTGTGTAGTAAATTATCACTCAAATGTCCAGCTTCACCCCATTTTCTTACATCAGGAATAAAAGTTACACAAATTGCTACTGGTTTGGCTGAATCTCTACCCTTGATTGTGTACAGCTTCTTTATAGCATCAGGACAGTTTGCGCTGCATGCTAATCCATATATTGTGTCTGTTGGAACTGCTATTACTTGTCCATTTGCCAGAAGTTCCGCAGCTCTGGCACAGGATGTTTCATTGGTACATGAAATTATGTCAGCCATTTTGTCAATCATCATTTTTGTTGATACACTTTCATGTCTAACTAATTTGATTCTTAAATGTTTTAATAAATTCATACTTAAGTACACAACACTATTAACAGTTTAGTTTTTTATTAAATTAATTTAAAAATAAGAAATATAAAATTATATTAGTCACGCCAGTTGTGAGCACATTTATGGTTACAACAACGATAGAAGGTAGTCATTGGCTCATCAGCGGATCGAGTTTGAAGTTGCATGAAGAATGCTCTACCATGAGAACATTTGGGGCATACTGCATCGGTGGAGTCTACGTTTTCCCAAGCAGCTGCGCCGCCCATAATATAATCGAGCTCCTGGAAATTAAAATAAAATAGGATAAATATATTAAATATTGTGAGTGTAAAATATGATGAATTTGTTATGTTAACTTGTTACCTTTAACTTCGGGAATGTACGGGAGTACACTTTTTTCCTGATATTATAAACATACGGGCATGTATTGCAGGCGTACCTAAGTCCTCGCTCCGGGCGTTCTTCTACCATCAAAATATTTGCACATGTTGGACAGAATAACATTACATCAGCCAACTACAAACAATATTATGTGATTCTTACAAATTATTATTTTTATTTGCAGATTTAATAAAAGACGAACATTTTAATATTAATATTGGCCGTTCCCTAAAACAGGGATATAAATTAAATAACGTGTAATTGAATTAAATGTAACTAACCTACAAAGACCGCGATTTAGATTTTTAATCTTGAATAAAAGTGAATGCAAAACTTATTTTGGAGGTTATCTTTTTTCTCTGTCTCAATCTTAAATTTTTATTTTTTTTTATTCTAAAGGCAAGTTTTCACTTTTATAATAAATTTGTACAAGATGATTGTAATTCATTTGGTGCAAAGCGAATGGATTTTTTGGGTCCAACAAAAGAAAAATTAGCCTAAAAACAAATAAAAATTGATAAAACGTTGCTTTTAGGCTTTTTGATATATTTTCTACATCATAGAGTTATACTTACTCTGTGACGCCAAAATTCTGTGTAATGGACAATTCAAAAAATCATTCGTTCTTGTCAGAATTAGACTGACAGATGGCAATCAAAATTTAAAACTTGTGTCAAGTCGTGTGTCGAGTGTCGGCTGTACGAACGGCTGACTGTGCCGTTACCTTTTGGGTGTGTTTATCGAGTGATAACAGGTTTTTTTTATAATTTCAAGGCAAAAGTGTATTTAAGACCCGCGCGATTTAAATATATTATTTGAAAATGTTACGATCTGTGTTGGATGCATTTTGGAATGAGGATGTGTGGTTACCGCCGAACACTACTTGGGACGATATTGCTCCAGGACCTGATAAAGAAGTGGTATATACAGATTACAGGCATCTTCTGTATCCGATACCACTAGCACTTGTGGTTATAGCCATCAGGCATATACTAGAGAAGTAAGTTTTGCTAGAATTCACAAGTATGCCATTTTCTAGCGTTTCGCTTAATGATCTTGTCCAATTTAGTGAAATTACCTTTGTGTAATAATTCGATTTTTAAAAAGTATTTCATACAGATTTATAAATGTTTTTACAATGAAAATATTTTTTTATCTGTATATAATACTTTTTCAGCGCTAAATAGGCAAAAGTATTAAAACTATTTACGATATCATACATTCTTAGAAACATCTTCCGTCATTAGTAGCACTAATTAACACTAATATACACAAATGTAATGTACATGAGGAAGTAATTCTGTACAATGGTGTAAGATACTAGCTTTATCCAGTTTTTGTTCTGTAATTAAATTCAGTTTGAGAGATTTATTAAAAAAATATTTAAAATCATTTTAGAGAACTATTAAATACAAATTTATTATGACAGAAATGTTTGTTCTGTTTTTAATAGTTTTAATTTTTATATTTCATGTAATATAAAATTAACATATTTTTTTAAATGATTAGTATTAAATGCCTGTCATTTATGTTAAGGTAATTTTTCATTTATGATTTAGACTCCAATATTCATCTAAGTATTTAATGTTACTAAAATTATATTTGTTTTTATTATGTATGATTACTTATATATCTCCAATAAAATAATATATGAATATTAAATATTTATTAAGTTGTAACATGCTATAAATAATAAAAGTTATTGAAATAATTTATAGTCATCTTGCACTCATATATATTTTGTATGTTTGTCCCCAAGAATATCAAGTAAATTTTAGAAACATCCATAAAATTTCCTTAGATATGGTAATCTAATATTTTCCCTGACACATTAAATATTTTGTTTCAGATACTGGTTTGCACCATTTGGCAAATCATTAGGAATTAAGAATACAAGACCAAAGAGAGTCCCATATAATCCCAAATTAGAAGCAGCCTACCAGAAATCATCTAAGATAAAGCATAAACAGGTATGTTTTATGTGAACTTTATATTATTTTACTAAGTAAAATAAACTGAATGTTTACATTGGTAAACTGTAATTCATTAAAATGACTGTCTCTATACAAATATTAATTATATATCATATATATCAATATCTATTATATAATTGAGTAATTGGTTTAGGTTTTGAAAACAATTAAAATATGTTTTATTTAAAAACAATATTTTATCAAATATCACTTGAGTGACTGAATTACAGTGTATGAGTAAAAGAACAGCTCTGTGATAGTTAACATATTTTAATGTATATTATTAAATAATAATGGGCAATACATATAAATATATACAATTATATTCTATAATTGGTTGTTTCTTGACCTCATAATATTATGTTTTAATAGTCTATAAGTTATTACAGTAATATTTATAGTATTTCAATAATATTTATAGTAGCTATAATAATAACTACTTTTGTGTATATATTATATTACAAAGAATATATTGTTTATAACTATTAAAAAAATTGGACTCATAACTATGCAACATTTCTGTATTAATATAAATTATATTTCAATCACAGTTAATTTTTCAATAACTAACTACATTTTTTTAATGAATAAACTTTAAATTTGCCAAACATTGATAACTTTCAGGCTAAACCTTTATCTTATCAATTTCTTTTGAAAAAGAGATAATACACTATGTACTATGTATATCATTGGTATTTCATGGGAAATCAATTATCATTATGTTTAGAACACTTACAAAAGGAAATCACTCGAAAATATTAAACACCTTCCTAAGTGGGTATTACACTATAATATACACTGCATACCATGTAGGCGATAAACCATCGTAATATATAAAATTATAAATAAAACTACAAGCATATCTAAGCTCTGTATATTAACGAGTTTAGGAAAAGTCATAAATTAATTATAATGAAACAGTTCATATTGTAATAAAAATATATATTAGTATTTAATAAAACAAACATATTTTTCTGTTACGGTTAATAGTATTTATTGCAAGCAATATAAAGGATGAAAAGTATTGTAATCGTAGATTATGCAGTAAAAAAAGAGTGACTAAATTATTCCTTAGATCGTTATTTTTAAAAATGTCTAAAAAGATTGCCAATCGAATCACCATAAAAATAAAAAAAAAACATTTCCCTCCAATTATTGTTTAGCCGTTGCCGCGCTTTCAATCAATATTAATACTAAGAGGTAGGTTATAATCGGAAATAATCAATAAATCACGAAAGAGGCATAGTAAAAAACGACGTTTCAGTTTCGGTCGTAATTTCGGCAAATTCGCCGCAGAAACACACGCTAAGGTTAAAATTTCGTATATTTGCAACGTTAGGCAAGCGAAATGAATTAAATATAGAGTGTCTAAAACCAGTAGTCATATTTTGTTTAAGTGCTTTAAAAATCCTATACAGATGGCCACATTTTTTTTTAAACCACAGTGGTGGTAATCTATTATACGGCCTATCTGACGGTAAACGGTTACCGTTGTAAGGCATCAGGAGCGCGTTACAGATCCTTAATAGAAATAGAAATAATCTTTATTCAAATAATATAAGCACTTTTGAATGTTCACATTTTTTTTATTCCACCGCTCATTCAATGAATGCTGACTCATCACAAGAAGAATGAGCAAGAAAAGGAAGAAGAAAGTAACCTTAATATAACTTCAAAGACTTACATGAAGCTTTCCGAATGTACGGTAGAATAAAAAATACTATATGACTATTCAGTTTATTTCATTGAAGATTGTTTCTTTTTCTATTTCCTCATGCTGTAGTCTCTAGAGAAAACATCGGCAGATAGTTAATTCCAAATTATATGTATGTGTGGGAGGAAAATTCTCTAGAACCGGACTTTCCGTGACTACTTAGGTTTCAGAGTGTGAGAATGAATCATCAATGCATATAATTGACGACCTCGGTGGTCTAGTGGTTTAGCACACCGCTTTACGTCCGATGGTCGCGGGTTCGATTCCTCGCACGGCACAAACATTTGTATTCGTGAGTATGATTGTTTGTATCGGTCTGGGTGTTTTCTATGTATATATGTATGTATTTACGAAAAAAAAATTATATCTATGTATTTGTATCAGTTGTCTAGTACCCATAACACAAGCTTTAGCTAGCTTAACTTGGGACTAGATGGCGATATGTGAATTGTCCTGAGATTATTATTATTATTAAATATACATTTATTATATTTAATTAAATATATTTTAAAAGAATATAATTATAGTTTCTATAGTTTCGGTTTACCGCGGAAACACGCTAAGGCCGGGACTACACTATTGCTAGTATTAGCAATTGTACAAATATTGAGTGTGTAAGTTGTCTAACCAGCGGTGAAGTAGATATTTTGCATAACAAGACCCTTTCAGGTGGTCACACTATCCTAAGTCCATAACAGAATTTATTAATGTAAGTCAAACCTCAGCACATTGCATTGTGAAGTTGAATGCTACCTCCGAGCATGCTATTTATTAAATAAAAACCATACCTAATATGTTAGGCACTCTAATAACGGTTAGTTCGAATAGAGTATTTATAATTTCACCTTAGTACAATAATACCATTGTGGTTTTACCAGGAATTTCAGTCATTCTAACATTGTACATTGTTAGCAATGGGGACATTAGTCCACATTACTAACAATCCCCTTCTACCTTATAGCAGATTAGTAATATTTTTAAATATTACTAATATTATATTCATCTAGAATATGGAATGATGCACCTGCCTGAGAATGATAGGATGAGCATGAACCCAGGTCCGTAAGACCATTGTGAATGACTAGCGTTCGATTTATAAAATTTAAAACTAGAATTTCTTTAAGACTGTATCAGAAACATTGTGTTTTTTATAGTGCATAATAAGTGTTTGCATGTTTATTGTTAGTATATATGGCTACATGTATTTTCCCGACTATTTCGACTAAAGAAAATCTAAATTTATTGTGCGTACTTTGTAACATATATTTAGCTGTCTATAACTATTACTAACTGCTCTATATCTACTAATTTCTATAACTACCAAGTTACTTAATAGTACAAAAAAAAATCTTACCCGAATACGCATTTTTATATAAATAGTTACATAGATACGTATAATAACTATATGAGAAGAGAAAAAGGTGTAAGGTCCACAAAAAAGAGGGTCATTACCCAGTAACTTGTAAAAGTATTTTCTCATAATAAACATTTAATAATTATAAGAAGTCATAAGATAATAATTTGTATAGGAAAAAATTACATAAAAATACGCTCTTAAGAAATGAATGCGTAGAATATTTTTAATTCTCGATCTAAGAGCTTTATTCCCTTTATTATTTTCAGTATATAAAGAATTAATCGAGCAAAAATGAAAAAATATAACGTGATACCTTTGCTAGTTTCTAAGTTGTTATATCCAAGATATATACCGAATAATAGAAACAAAATGGAGTTGTGATATGGTAAAATTATGAACTGCTGCTATCGTAGACTACGTCAGAGATAATAAGTAATAATAATAACTCCAGGATAATTCACACAATGCCACTAGTCCCAAGCTATACAGAGCTTGTATTATGGGTACTAGACAACTCATAGATTTAACTACGTTTTTTGAAAACACATACATAATATAAATAGAATACACCGAGACCGATACAAACAATGATACTCATGAATACAAATGTATGTACCGTGCAAGGAATCGAACCCGCGACCATTGAAAGTAGAGCGGTGTGCTAAACCGCTAGACTGCGCCGCTTTATTTCAGAAAAGACAGCTGAATATAATTGAATAATGTATTTGGACAACGAATTAACTGCAATGTGTAATAAAATTGCACTAATTGGTTAACCGCTCATCTGCGAAGGAACCAACATAAATATTTTTTTGTATTTTGAAATATCAGTTTCAAAAATTATTGGATTGAAATTTCAGTTTCAAAAATTATTGGATTGAAATCTCAGTTTCAAAAATTATTGGATACTCCACAGATGGGCCCAAACCCCCATCAGTGAGAAGTCCTAGAATTGGTCTCACAGATGGGACGTTAATTACATTTTGATAGCTAACAACGAAAGGTTAACTTGAAAAATATTGTCTATTCATTATTTCCATCGTCCATTCACAATTTCAATTGTTCAATACATTTATTATTCAATTCAAATGGACCGTTACATAATTTTGTTGTAGTAATATGTGTATGTAGATAATTATTAGTGTTTATTAATGCTTGATAATCCTATAACTGTGCTTCCTTTTTTTCCAGTTGTATTTGAGCGTGGACGAGGTAATTGTTACACAATATGCACATAATCATAGAATAAAGTAAAATCGTAGAATAAAGGTAGATATGGCGAGCATGGAACGTTATTTTATTTATTTACCAGCTGTGAAATTGTTAGCCTATATGTAATTATGATGTATAAGCTATACTACTGTGAAGTTTCATCGTTTTTATACACACGTTTCTGTACCGATATGAACGCCAACCCGGTCAAGAAGGCGCCAAACGTCAAAATGGAAATTGGCTTAATGTCACAAAAAAATATTAATCACTTTGAATGATATCATACACTATCTGGTCCGCGCAACTTCGACTGCATCACTTACACTATATTTATCATTATATATCTCGTAATTTACATAATATCTTTTTAAACTATAGTCATTGAGTTATTTTATGTACAAGCTACATTACTATAGAGTTTCAACAAAATCCGTTCCGTAGTTTTTGCGTGACAGAGTAACAAACATCCATCCATACTCACAAACTTTCGCGTTTATAATATTAATAAGATTTATTAAAACTTTGATGCAGAAATATAAAAATAAAGGTATACATGGCAGACTTAACAACATAAGGTATTTTCTACCAGTCGACCATAGAGCAAATGGAGTTTAGTGGACGCATATAAGTAAATAACATGAAATGACACCCCTGGTGTTTCAGGCGTCCATAGGCTACGGTAACCGTTTAGCATCAGATGGGCCGTATGCTTGC